AACGGAGACAATTGTGCCATTGACGGAGTGAGTAAAATATTTGGAGAAGAAAAGCTGTGCAGTGGACAAAGAGGAGCAGAAGGTGAAGCAAACATGTGATGATCTTTGCAGGATCAATGAAGCAGAGCTCCCATTTGTGCAAGAAGCGGAGAACTCAAAACTGGGATACCAACTGCATAATGTATGCTAAGCCATAGCTTCATGACGTGGAACAGAAGCTTTGGCGGGCAAGTGCTCGCAATGACTTTTTGTAGCCGTGTGAAGCAGAGTCAACGCTGAGCAGTGTCAAGAGTTTATGACAAATCATGTCGGTTTAGAATATGGAAACATGGAAATCCATGGGTCGGCAATGGTTGGCAATGCGAGGAAGCGATGGGAATCTACAATAGCATTGTACAAGTAGTAGAGCGCAGAGTAAAAGTGGGAGTTGATGCACATGCCTTCCACAATTCGCCTGGAAGACAGAGATAACAGCCCAAGAAGTGGGAAGGAACAATCCTTGATTAATTTACATTTTGGTCAAATTCTGCAGTGAAAAGTGTCACATTGAAGGACACTCTTCAAACCGTGACCGAGTTAGAGAAATATGTGTAAATAGACAATGTCACCTCACAAGAATACGCTCAAACTCGTCTTTATTATTGGAACCAGCCTGAAACAACTCAAACAGCCTGCGATCCTTTGTGTAACTTTGTCGTTGCAATGATAAAGTGGAGGGAAGTAGATCCCTACCATAAACTTACGATGGACGCTGACATGCTTCGGAGCAATCTTCTTCGAACTTGCAGGAGCTGGAAGTAGATTTCGTGACTGAAGCTCTAGTGATTTGTTTCCGAGGGCAGAGTTCGGAATCTGAACTCAACAGAAGAAAATGACGGGGACTTGAATAACGTCACGGGAAGCTAAGAAAGTCAATTGGACACGAGAGCAGCAGAACACAATTTCCAAAGCTAAGTACACAAGCATACAGAGCAACCTCCAGAAGAGTTAGATAGGTGAAAGGACAGCGAAAAACCCAAGCTTTCATGTTGAATGACAAGACAGAGTCCAATTTAGCGACAAAGATCAGATTGATCTGAGGTTTAAGTTCACCACTTCATCATTTTATTTCTTTATTGAAATGATAAAATTTTCTGTACTCACGATGTTCAGAATGTCCTTTCAATAAATTTTGAAGTCAGCTCTTTGAGTAGGGATGGAAAGATCCATGAAGTGGCTTTAGGCAGAAATTCATCACAAAATACATCTAATTCATCCTTTACTCAATGTATATATATATATATATATATATATATATATAAAAGTTCTAATACTTGGTGATTGAAATATAGTTGCACCGGTGACAGCCATTAAAGCTGAGATTCTGACAGTCTTGAAACGCTACAACAAATTTACAAATGAATAATTAAAGCATGAATCTCGAGAGCAAAGGTGCTCGAGGATATCCAGCGACTCCCCCACATCGAGTCCATTGGCTGGATGATTCGATTAAGTTTAATGTTCGAACTCAAGTGCGCACGTCGTATCCAGATCGAAAGGTTATCATGCAGACGCAAATGCTGTCCTGAGGACATACGCACGAGACGCTGAGTGCCAAGAGGATGGAAGGGACGGACCAAGATTGACATCCACAGGCTCCTAGACTTCATGCCTGTGCAGAGCTCCTGGCGTAGAAAATGCTGAACTACGTAAGTCGCTGATAGTCCGTCCATAGTGCATACATCGGTGCTAGCGATCTATGCTCCATCTTACTGTACCCTTTTGGGTGTTTATGATATGTCCCTGTACGACTTGATGATGGCAGTCTTCTCATCCTTTGGCTGTATTTCTTCACTCGTTGTAAATGATAGTAACCAGCTCAGCGAGAAGTTCGTCGAAATCTTTCATGTGCATTCATTCATTCGATGGGGTACGAAATTTTCGTCGACAGATTGAAATCTCGATGTTGGAATTGGAATTTGGAGCTTTCCCTGCATTCTACTTCCCATTTTGCCCAGATCCTCGTTCAACCTGAAGAGCAATACGATCGAAGATTTAAACCTTGAACCATGCGCCTGCTTAAACCTCTCGCTCGCGGCACGATACTTCGTTGCGTGCCCCGCGGGGCGATTCGACCCTTGCATCCTTTGAGTCATTATTAAGATGAGCGTCGGACATCTTGAAATCTCGGAAACTCTCCAATCAGTGCAAGCAGAGGCGATCCGAGTCTTACTAACACTTAATGCTCGTTCATTCTCGCTCAAGTGCCCACCGATCTGCAGTTCCAGGAGACGCCATCAGATTCAGTGACAGGCGCTCTTCGATCCAGTGGTTGGTGAGCATCGATTGCTTCTCCAATTACTCTCCAGCATTTCGGTCGAATGTTTCTCGTATGGATCTTTCCGGAACCTTCTAGACGAGCCCGAATCGTTTGTCCGAACGAGCGAGCGATGCGCACCGAGACAGCAAGCGACCAGCTCGTCAGCTCTTTAGCTCGCCGTACTTGGTACGATCGGATCGCAGAGCCTGCAGTTTGGGAAGGGTTAGGTCCAGCTCGTGATTCGAGTGCTGGACCTGACTCCATGGCATTGGGGAAATTCGACACGAGAAAGCACGTCCAGGCGTGCCCTCAATAATTTCTCGGAGGCCGTGCCGGTTTCCAGGTTCCGATTTCCCCGGAGATCTAGAAATGCGGGCTGATGCACCAGGCAGCTCTGAAGTACGGCGGCTCGAAAGCAAACCGCAGCATTCCAGAATCTCGACCGGCCCAAGCGGAGACACGACAAATCGATAGTGACGTCATTCGAGAAATGGTTTCGTGGAATGTCGAGCTCCGTCGTTTCGGGGAATGTGAAAGGCTCGAGGTAAAGTACATGGGCGAAATCATGATCATCATCAGCGTGGTCTGCTGCGGCTGCTACACTGCCAGAGGCCTGTCTGCCTGCCTGCTTGCTCCATGCAAGATCATTCCTCCGCTCGATCTGTAGGTAACAGAGCTGACACTCTCTGTCGATGACACCCTTCCGAAGTTTGGCGAAAATATTCCCTCACTGTCCGCAAGCTCGATCGTACGTACCACGAGCTAGAATTCCAGCTTGCCCTCCGGTGTAAGAAGCTATGTCAAGTGGTTAGAACCGACCAAGCTCACCCACGTTCACCTCGTTTCGTTGCTCATTCCATTATCGTTGTTGTCTGAATTTCTTCCTGCTGCTTCACTCTCAACTCCCAGATTCACGGTTCAAGCTCAACAGTGCAATAAAACTGCGAGTTCCTTTTACAGGGCCGTCTTTACTGCAGCTGACAATGTCCAAATCTGTTGAGAGTGCGCTGGATTCCCTGTCATGTTATCACTTTTACCAATTTTGCAATTCGAGCTGATCCTCGACGACTCTTTTGCGAACGAGGAATATTTGAGCCAGTGCGAAGGAACGACGTCCCCAAGCCCATGCAGATCCCATCTGCCTCGTGGTATCTGACGGCAGAATCATCTGGACGATGCGGAGCACTATGCTTTTTACGGATCTAGTGCGCCGTATACACAGAGAGGTCTGAGCAGGTGGTTCCTGAAGGAGGTCGACGATGTTGTGCTTAATGCTCACAATATGACTCTAATGGTTTATCAATAAAATTACATTATCTTGAATTGAAGCTGCATTTAAATCGTCAGAAACGTCGGATGAATGTCCAGAAATTGGTCCACTGAACATATCTGGATAACTTTCTCCACCCTGCTTGAGCTGGAGCAGTCTCCTGCGAGTCTGCTCAAGAGGATTGAATCCTTCTCTGTAAGTCTACTTCGAGTGCCATCTGCTTCACTCGACTCGACGAATTCATTTCGGTCCTGACGAACGGAAGCTTGAAAATTTTCAGAAAAAATTAACTCGGAAATCTCTAACCGGAACATTGTCACAAGCTGACGCCCAATTCGCTTTAGCAACAAGACGAACGCAGCTGTCCAGCAAGAGCAGCCCACTGACATTGTACCTTCGCAGTGACAGCCAAAAGCCTTCGAAAATTTTTATAGCTCGGTAGAAAACTCGGAGGACCTTTGCGCATTCCTTTCCAGAGCTGATCACATCATGACGAAGAGGATTCTGAACCCTCACGGAGGCTGCTTCCAGTCCAATGCGCATCCATCCCCGTGGCACGATGGCCTTCTGAGCGGGCTCCGTGATTTCCAGTACTCTTGACGAACGTCTTGCACGGCGCTGAGCTAGCCATGTCCTTTCTAATGAAGCTCTTAGATTGTTCCGGGTTGTGGATTCTTCGCTGCTTTCGGTCTGCCTGGATTGCGGTTTCCGTTCAGTCCTGGAGATTTCAGCAGGCAGTGGTTCGAGATTTGCCTCTTGTGCAGCTGTGATTCGTTGCATTCTTGTGTACGTTCTGCACTTTCTGCGTGGACTGCTTGGACCGCTTGCCGGTCCAGCTCTATGGTCAGCAGGCAGTGGCGACTGCTGTCGTTGTGATTTTTTCCTTTCTAGTAGATGCACGAGTCTATGGTTCGTGTGATCCTCGCTCGAAAGAGAGTAATTGTTCAGAAGCTAGATGCTGTGGATTCAACGCACATATCTCAGCCTTCTCCCAAACGCGTTTGGAGATTAGCAGAAACTGAGAGTCCCGTCCTGGAAAATGTTGACTCACACTATATGGAGCCCAGATCCAGAATTGCTCAATGACACTGTTTCTACATTCTTTATGTCATGTGTTATCACTATCTCCATCTGTAAATCTCTTTTAAGGTGGGACATGAAAGCAGCTTTGACGTCTGGCAAATTCAGAACTTCAAGCATGTCTTTTCCAGAATCTATATTTTCAGTCCTATGTTTACTCTTTTATCTGTGACTTGTAACATATGATGATTTTATTCGAGCTACTTAAAACAAAATAATTATACGGAACCATGCTCCAAGGATATGATGTCCACGACCACGACTCAAGAGAAGTTTTACAGCTTCATTGAAAACAAAGTTAGGATGCATTGAAATCCAACAGAGAAAGTGTACATCCATAATGGAATTAAACAACACGATACTCTACTTATACAATTTGAAAGGTGAGATAATACAAAATTGTGATGATGCATCATTACACAGCATCATTATGAATGTGCGCGGATAAATCCTCGTGGATATGAGGGGAAAGATCTCTACAGCTGCCGAAGCATCCGAATCCAGCGTATCAAAGAAGTCAACTTCTTATTGATTATTCTATGGACGCTGACATTTAGATGAATCGTCATAGCTCCGCAGATTATGGTTTCATCTTGTGTGAAGATGGGGAATGAAGAGCTTGAAGTAGCTTGTCCTTGCTTTGTTTGCACAATGACGCCGATCTGAGACTGATCCAGGCACCTGATCATGAAGCTCGGGCGGGCCGTGAAGTGGCCGAACCTTTCCATCTGAAGATCGTTTCATCGAGCAAATCCTCGTGTCGCAGAATGCGAGGACATGATCCGGCATCCATTGGCACATGTCATCTCAACACGCACCCCAGTTCTTCGAAATAACGATATTTGATCTCGTGATGAAGAATCCGTGTCGCATGTACAAGACGCAAGGACGATTACAAACAGAGGTCCAAGCCGCTCAGCTCGTCGACGAGAACCAATCCGACGATTAAGAAGTGATTTGCTGATGAATTTGAAATCCTCTACAAGTTGACGAAATTGATTGCGCGGTGCCTTTGGCCTCCGCAACCGAGATTTATTTACATGATGAGCAAGGGAGGGCATGGAGAGCTGAGATCAGAAGGATGGAGTCGGACGAGCTCGAGACGATCACACGTCGTCGGGGGCTCGGGCGGGATGGACGTCGACGCGGGCGGTGACGAAGCGCTTCCAGAACCAGTGCTGCTCCCAGAGGAGGGGCATGCGCTCGAGGCCGACGCCCTTGGTCTCGGGCACGAAGAGGAAGACGAAGAGCGACATGACGACGATCCAGAAGGCGAAGAAGTAGAAGACGCCGAAGCGCATGGCGCAGAGGAAGATGTAGAACCACTGCGCGATGCAGAAGCCCACGAAGTAGAACACGAAGCCATTGAGGCTCATGGCGGCGGAGCGAATCTCGAGCGGAAAGATCTCGCCCGGGATCACGAAGCCCAGCGACCCCCAGGACCACGTGAACGCGCCCACGTACAGGCAGAACACCACCACCACGCCGATGCCCACGCCCTTGTCCAGCGGCTCGTGCAGCCCCAGATGGTACTGCAGCAGCGCCCCCAGCGCAATCTGCAACCCCACATCCAATCGCTGGCCTCTCAGATACCATCATCATCATCATCATCATCATCTGCTACGTTCTAGCGCAATCATTCATTCATTCATTCATATCTGCCTGAGCGAGAACAGCTTCAGACTCAGTCACGAAAATCCTCGAAGCTTTTGAATATCGATACCAAAGCTCGAGTGACAGAGAAAATTCGGGCCAACATGAAACGAGAAATTTCGTGGAGAAGAGAGCTGCCATTCGGATGAGGCCATTCTTGTCGGCTTCGATCGTCATGAAGATTCCTCGAAGCTTTCGAGTCTCGATGCCGAAGCTCCAGTGACAGAAAAATCGGGCCAACATAAAACGAGAAATTTCGTGAAGACGATAGCTTTCGTAATCGCGAGAGGTGAGTTACAAAGAAAAAATAAAATCGGGACAAGTTACGATGAGAACTGACCAGGAAGACGAACATCTCGACGCCGCCCTGGTAGAGGATCTTCTTGCGGCCCCAGAGGTCGACGAAGCGCATGGCGAGGGCGGCGGTGACGACCTTGACGGCGCCGAGGATGGCGTTGGAGTAGAGCGACGACTGCGCGCCCAGGCCCAGCGACCGGAAGAAGACCGGCGCGTAGAATGCGGCCGAGTTGGCGCCGGTCAGCTGGAAGAAGACCGGCACGCTCAGCCCCACCACCATCTGCGGCAGGTACCGCCGCTGCCGTACGGCCGCGAACGCGTGCCGCACGCCCTGCGCCTTGGCTACAGCGCCGGCGATGTCCGCGAACTCCACGTCCACGTTCGCGGTGCCGCGAATCTTCTCCAGAATCGCCCGCGCCCGCCGCGGCTGCCCGCGCTGCAGCGTGCTGGCCGGCGTGTCGGGCAGAAAGACTCCCCCCAGCACCCACACCAGCCCCGGCGCCCCCGCCAGCCCCAGCGCCAGCCGCCACCCCCAACGCTCGATCGTCTCCGCCCGGTAGCTCACTATCCCCGCCGCAAAAATCCCGATCGAGTGCGCAATCTCCAGCGACGCCATCAGCGCCCCCCTCGTCTGCGCCGGCGCCATCTCCGCGATGTACATCGGCGTCACCTGCACCACCAATCCATCAATCAATCTGCCAATCCATCAATCAATCCTCCTCACGGCCTCTAATCCGTGCTGAAGATGGCACAATCTCTCGATAAATGAATCCTTCATCGGCCTCGCAGTCCGCCTCTGATTTGTGCTGAAGATGGCATTATCAGTCGATAAATCAATCCTTCATCGGTCTCGCGGTCAGCCTCTGATCCGAGCTGAAAATTGGACTTCCGAGGAGGAGAATTTTGCGACGAGGAGGAGGAGGAAGGAGGATGGGACATACCTGGACGCAGATGCCGAGGGCGGCGCCTTGGATGATGCGGCCGCTCAGAAGCATGGCGATGTTCTGGGCCGAGGCGCCCAGGATGGTGCCGACCATGAAGGTGAGCCCGCTGATGAGAATGCTGGCCCGTCTCCCCCAGACTCGAGTCGGGTACGAGGCCAGCAGGCACGTCGATAGCGCCGCCAGGTACAGCGACGACGTGTACAGCTGCAGAAACTGGTCGTTGAATCGGCAGTAGTTGTTGGTCGACGTCTGCTTGCGCAGGAGGTCCGGGAAAAATTCCTCCAGAAACGAGTCCATGGCCGACACCCCTCCTGCCCATCATCAATGAATCAGACATCGGCGAATTAGCATTCTCCATTCGATTCTCTGTCCAGAGTCCATGCCCATCTCTATCTCCTTCTTCTCCCAGAGAAGCGAGGAGTCTGATTTCTCGAGGGTCGAGGGGAATGGAACCCGGGGATGATACATTGCAGACTAGAATGAATGCCAAGGACGCGAGGGAGTGCAGTACCTGCGATGTTGATCTCGTATCCCACAGACATGAAAATGCAGGTCGCGGTTGCGACGGTGACCAAGACGTATGGGGTCGTCCGCCCTTCATACGGCTTCTTCTCCTGCAAATCTCCCGCTGGCGGATCTGCGATCTGCGTCGTCATTTTTTCTCGTCGCTGTCTGCTCCGGCCTCTGCGCTCTTTCTACGAACAGACTGCCTCTCAGAGCTCTGTCAATTGAACAACGAACCACAGTCAGACATGCTGGCTCGAACGACAGAAGAAGGAATGCCATCGATGATCCATTGCACTCTTCTGCATCAGAAGTATCCTTCCAACAGAGCAATGGCTTCAGTGCAGCAACTCGAGGCATAAAATACCTCTCGATTCAGAGATTGTCGACGAGGAATCAAATATTTACGAGAGGAGTCGACGGAGTGTGAGACCTTGATCTAACTCTCGAGACCCATCCGTGGGCCTGGGACAAGTGCGAAGCGGCAGGCAGGCAAGGCCGGGTTGAGCTCCAAATTACTCGTTACTCGTTACGCCATTGCGAATGCGCCATATGCCAGAGAAGAATCTGGTCTCACGTTGTCCACAGTTCTCTCCCGTTCTTCAACGTCTGATGTCGAGCTCACTCTCCCTCCTTTTTTGGAGATCAAGGAACACTCTATCGATTCGACTTGCTTGATAAATGTCTAGATTCTACTCACGCAGCTGCCACGAGTCATGAATGTGTCTGGAAAACTTTAAAACCATTGCTGAGGGCACAAGACTGGAGAAAGAGAGAGATCATTCCATTCATAAGCCCATGATAAGCTCCATATCTGCCCTACTCTGACCGCACAGCAGGGGAGAGAGAGAGGAAAGAACGATGTGACATGTAGGTTTCTAGCCTCTGGCTCCACGGAGAAAGCAGAGAAAACATGAGAGAGCTTACACTTTATGGAAATGCACGCCCACGAAATGTTGGAGGAGATTTAGGAGATTTCCATGCATTTAGGCAATGTCTGCTCTGACGTCTGTTGCAGACCTGACATCATCACTTCGAGCAAACCACATACGAGACTCATATCAGCTACATAGATGAACTCAGTCGCTACATAGTGTAGTTCATGCTCGTGGAGGTCAGCCTGTGGAGACCCGAGTCCAAAGTCCTGAGAAATTCGAATATCGACTGTCATAATCGTGCGTACAGCTCCGAGCTGTCGCTTGTAAATGGTTCAGCTGCTCAGCTTGACTTACCGCTCACTGTCAGATTGATCATTGTACTGTACGGTACTTGCTCTTAATTTGTGTGGGTCTTCCCTCAGGACCGAGACCCCTTGCTATGATTACGATTAAGTCTGATCGTCGACGCATACCTTGATGCATACTATTCTGCAGCTCGTATGTAACTGCTCGAAGCTGGAGCTCCACTTTCCTCAATCAAAGCGTATGTCTGTCAGTCTGTGGTCTGGACGGGATGAAAGTAAGAGCAACTCGAGCACCCGTTCCATGAAGTAAATCTGCACGTGTGATTTCGTGCTCTCGCTGGTGATTACGTTATAATATTCTTTACTTCATGGGCCTGCTATGTAGTACTGGACAGATCTAGAGTTGACATACATTCGCAACAGATTTGATGGTCATTGATGACTGCGTTGACAGTCAATAATGGTCGTACATGTGTCCAGGATTTCACGGCATGCGTGTTTCACCCTCGAGCATTTGGCAGACGATCGACACCCACTGGAAGCTGCTGTATATTCTACGGGTTACAAACAATAATTGACCATCTCTCTACCGCCCAGTACAGTGATCATTTTTCTTCGTTCCCGTTCTGCATGCAACCATCATCCAGGCCATTTGTGAACTGAGCCTTTTTCTCTTTGGCATCCGCAACGTACGACATAAAATTCCATTTCTATTTCGAAACACTAATTTGCCATAAGTCAGAACGACTTCATCTTTCTCTTTGCAGTGTGAAGGGCCCATTCGGACACTCTTTCAATCATAAGAATATAAGAGCTTTGCGTATCTCGCTGGATTGCCATGTTATGTTCCGAGTACACGATTGGAAAACATAATATTCATCGAAGCATGAGACGATCCAGAACCATGGATCGATCAATGATGTTATATCATTGATCGATCTGGTTAGCAAGTGTGGCTTATGTTATATCATTGATATAGCATAAGCCTCACTAACAGGAGTACTGAACCTCGAGAAAGGATACCACACACAGCAGCATGCATTATCAACGTGATCTTCTTTCCCACGTCTTTACGAAAGGTTAGGATGGCCCTCTCTCTCGTCCATGGCATGGCATGGCACTTTGCTGCAACGTACCGTATGTTGGGACGAACCGTGTACGCAAGACATCAAGACCTGTACTGGAACGTACAACAGCGATGGTCACTTCTCGAAGTCTCGTTGTTCCGGACCTCGAGTCTTGAGACTTGAGACCGAGGAGTGTACAGCAGCGGCTGTGGGTCCAGATCGCAGCAGCAGCAATAGTAGCACCAGAGACTGCGGCCATCCGTACTCTGGACGAGCTGACATACCTACCTCATCACTGCTAATCTACCGAAATAATGAGACGCCTGAATCTGCTGACAGGCCCTACAACGAGAGTGTAAAGTGCTGAATGCATGAACCGCAGACTTTTTAAGACCAGCAGAGGAGAATGGAGACGATCTATCAATCCATCGATCTAGCTATCTCGGACTGGAGCTCAAGCGAAAATTCTTCAATCCCAGACATGCGTGACGAGCAATAAAGTACTCAGGGTTGAGCACTCTGCAACCACTTTAAGAAACGGAGGTTCATATTCACTTGTCAGGTATCGTATAACTGTCCGCGAATCCCTGGTATCTGCTACACTTGAGGAGCCAACTTGATTGGAAGTTGGCAATTGCAGAGCCCACCATGTGAATCGTAAGTCATCACATCAAGTCCAATCGTTCGACCACGACCCAGTGGACAACTTCCAGCCAGTTCTGGTGGTAGAACTATCTCAACCTGAGCATGAAGAGTACAAACTAGGACTTGGAGGACTAACTTCACAAGCTAGCGAAACTTTGTAGACATAAATTCGAAGTCCTGGACAGCGTCCTCTTGGAGAAGGATGGTGCCTGACTGACTGACAATACCAGCTCCGCCGATTCCCTGATGCTAAAGCGGAGTACTGTAATTGTAATTCACACAAGTGAAAGCTTAAAGTGCAGGAAGCTTCTATTCCAGATTTGATGGAGCTCCAAACGGAAGCAGAAGGAGAGCATTCAATTTTTCTCCATGTTCACCTTTGAGTGAAACGGGAGATTCTGGAGGCAGTTTTGATTCTTGTTCTTTGAGGTAAGTCCGAACCTCGTAAAAGTTCAACTTCAAAGCGTCATCCTTTTTGCATATGGAAGTTCGGGAACCTCAACACAAAGCTTCGGGACAGGAGATTTGTGCAATTTTGAACAAGAGTTGCGCTCCTTCAGAAGATTTTCTAACAGCATGTAAAGGCAATGTGCGAAGGCAGAATAGAGCCATATATCGGATTCAATTCCGAGCGTATTGAAGTATATGCCTGTGGACATTCGGTACTGCGCGCAGCATGGAACCCCTATACTGTAATCCTGTTTCGCCCATCGATCATGACGACGACTTGTTGGTATCAGATACACTCCTAACCTTGACTCCCAGACTGCGGGCACTACAGTCCGAACATCGACAAAAAGGAAGGAAGATAATCATTAATTTTTCTCTTGCAGGTCACTCATTCTTCTTCATGACATCTTCGAGACCCCTTTCCCTCTTTGTATTGGCCTGCACAAACCCTTTTTGGGAGAAAAAGAGGATGAGAAAGAGAGACCGTGCAGCTGCTATTGAACATTGTGCTGCACCCCACTGTCAGTCGTGTGCGATTGATCTAATTCCTCTTGCCTATGAAAACGGATGGGCTATGCCAGCTGGTGGGGCAAAGGTCTTTTGGAGGACCATCGGGTCAATTGTATGATTGTCGTACACCCTACAGGCCATAACAATGTCCTACAATTGTATGTGCCTCGTTCATGTTTTCAAATTAGAAAAATCTAGCCTCGAAAAAACTTTGACGGTTTCTCAAATGTGGTCCATTCTGAAAAAGTCTCGGCCTGGAATGACTCTCGAAAAAGTGCGGCGGTTACAATTGGTGACTCTCATGGGCAGAAAACCGAAGCTTCACTTTGCGTGCATACAGTTGTGACGCAGGAGGGATGCCTGCAGGAGGAGGAAAGGATCAGATGCATGGGAACTAAGCTTCTAGAGAAAAGCGACATGAAAGTGTGAAGATTGAAGGTTCACATTGCGTACTGGATTCCGAGATTCTAAATCTTGCCGAACGGCTCGTCCCTCGACTCTAATTGATAGATCAGAATAGGATCAGGAGGACCTATTGGGTCTGACAAATAAGACAGGTCAGTTCGCAGCTCTAGTTGTAACTGAAGCGTAAAGAGCTCTCAAACTGACGTGAAAGGACTCTCATTTCCTCTTCATCAGACTGCTCTTCCAACTTCATAAGCCCCACCCGATTAACAGTTCAGAACTGCTGTTATTCAATACCGAAGAGCAGCTTTGGGACTCAAACTAACTTCAACAGTTCCAGCTGGCACGCAGATCGGCTACAGACAGACCTCTGTCCCTCTGATCCTTTCGTCTATGCTACTAAATGTCGGTAATTTCCTCATCTGCAATCGCATTTGATGATGATTCCCAAATACAGGAACGTGAGATGACTATGCCATGCCAGCCATATCATCAAGACCTCAGCGTTGTCCTATGTCAAAACTTAGTAGTCCGCATTCCAGTTCTCGCTTACGAGAATTCTTTAGTTTCAAGCACTCTCTTGTGATTGATGGTTTCCTCTCCATCATGAACAGATGATGGACCTCCATGAGCGTATATCTTTTAGCACTAGGGACTCAGAGACTGAAAGTTTTTGAACCTCCGGATTTTCAGGTGCTGTAAATCTTCAGCCCCAAAAACCCATCCTCCCACTGATTTTCCTGTTCCTACTCTCAGTGCTGCGAATGGGTCGCTTACTGAGACGGTATTGAGCTGTGCACACTTCTTCTTATAAGTGGATTAACACATGAGCACCATCGGGTGCATATTGACAACCGACCGTTTCCTCGTGCCTTGACACTCAAATCAAATACTTAACACTCCACTGTGAGGTTTTAATTGTTTGCTTTCGGAACTATGTGGAGTTGAGTGTCATTGATTCGTTCAAATTCAAGGTTCGACAGTTGAAGCAGGACCTCCCGAATGGCAATCATTCAGTTGCTGCGATTCATAAGCTTTTCATAGCTCATAGCTAGAAATTATCCAAAACCAAAGAGTTTTTTTTTTCTCAGATCCACACATCGCGAGTAATTGTGTTGAACGATTTTATACACGCCAGGGTCTACTATTGTCCAGTTTGCAACTGGTTCATGTGACTCATACTTCATGATCATGGAAAGGAAAGAAGGGACTCATGGAGGGCTTTGTTTAACGTAGGTCCCTCGCTTAAGACTGGCAATATGCACATGTGAGAACGATCACACGCATTAACAACATTGAATATGGAGTTAGCTCTCCATGCTCATAGGGTGCAATGTCCATTCAGTATGTTCTCGTGAGGATATTTAACATGAGCTCTCTCACACCTTGACAATCCAGTGAGGCATGATAAAACTTAGTCTTAGTCCAGAAGACTTTGGAGTCTCTCTCTTGATCCGAACATGGTCTCGTTGTTACAAAAGCATGCTATCACATGAACAGAGCCCTCCCGACCGACTGAAAGCACCTCTCTGAGTTCACCTCAAGTCCATAGTTATCGTTTGAATCGAGAGCACAACGGACTTCAAGGCTCCTTGAACAAAAAAGCGAATGAGAATATGTTTATGAACTAAGGAGACATTGTGCATATCTCATATAATCTGCACATTTCTTGAAGCTCAACATCTTCAAGTTATGTCTGTTGGGCATCAATCATACTTATAGTTTCTTATAAGGATTACGATACAATAAGGAATACCTGAAAGTCTTCATCTTCCTTTTGATTATCCACAAAAGATGAGATCTCGAATGGCATCATATAAATGACATCAAGTAATTGGTTGCTGCTTACTTTTAAAAAGAATCTGAAAG